TGCACCACCATGCCTGGCTAAAGAGAAAAATCTTAAAAGCCACATTATATATAAAAGACACATTATGTATAGAGTAACAATGACAGCCAGTTTCTCAAGAGAAACTTTTAATATAAGTCAGAACCATGGAACAACATCTTTAAAATGTTAAAGTGGAAAAAACTGCCAACATATAATTTTATACCCAGCTAAAATAGCTTGCAAAAAAATTAAGATAACATAGAGACTATTTTATTTGTATTTTTCTTTAGTGGTGCTGTGGGACAAGCCACAAGCCTTAAGCATACTAGGCATGCACTCTATTATTGAAGCACACTCCTATCCCCCAGATAGGATACTGTCAAATTGTCTTCCAAAATGACTATACCATTTTGCATTCCCACCAGCAATGAATGAGAGTTGAGGTTGCTCCGTTCCCTGGCCAGGGTTTGGTGTTGGTCCTATTCTGTATTGTGGCTATTCCAGTTCGTGTGTATTGGCAAATTATTAGGGGGTTGTTTTTGTTTTATCTCGTTGTTTCAATTTCAGTTCCCTAATGATGTGTGATGTTGAACACCCTCTTATACCCTATTTGTTGTCTGTATATCTTGTTTAAAGGTGTCTGTTCAAGTCTTTTGTCCATTTTTTGATTGGATTTTTTTCATATTGTTGAGTTTTAAGTTCTTAGTTCAGGATGTCTTTTGCAAACCTCTTCTCCTAGCTTTTGGCTGGTCTTCCCATCCTCTTAACAATGTTTTGTATAGAGCAGTTGTTAGTTTCATCCATTTATCAATTATGTCTTTTCATGGATCGTGCCTTTGGTATCATGTCTAAACATTATGGCATATGAAAGATCATCTAGGTGTCCTTCCATGTTATCTTCTAGGAGTTTTGTAGTCCTGTATTGATAGTTGGGTCTGCTGCCAATTTTGAGTTTATTTTTGTGAGGGTGTAAGGTTTCATGTTTCTCAGCTGGGTTCTACTCCTGGGCTCAGGGGATCCTTCTGCCTCAGCCTCGAGAGCTGCAGGGTTCATTGTAATTATTTATTTGTTTTGCATGTGGGTGGCCAAGTGTTCTAGCACTAGTTCTGGAAAAGTCTGTCTTTGCTCCCTTGTTACCCTTGCTCCTTAGTTGAATATAGGTTCACTATATTTATGTGAATCTCTTTCTAGGGCATCTAGTCTGCCCCACTGATCTAGTTTTCTGTTCTTTGACCAGCAAATTGCTGTCTTGATTAGTGCCGCTTTATAAGAAGTCAGGCAGCATTAATCCTACAACTTTATTCTTCTCTCGTAATACTGAGTTCACACTGGTCGTGGTGGCACATGCCTATAATCCCAGCTCTTCAGGAGGCTGAGGAAGGAGGATCCCAAGTTTGAGGCCAGCCTCAACACTTACTAAGACCCTCAGCAATTTAGGAAGAGTCTATCTCAAAATGAAAAATAAAAAGGACTGAGTAAAATGGCCAGTACTCAGTACCCCCCCCCAAAAAAAAATACTGAGTTGGCTATTCTGGGTCCTTTGCTTCTCTGTAAAAGCTTTAAAATAAGTTCATTGATATTACAGATTACCTTGCTGGGATAGACACACATACTGAGGATTAATCCCAGGGGCACATTACCACTGAGCTACATCACCAGCCCTTTTATTTTGAGACATGGTCTCATTAATCTGCTCAGGGCCTCACTAAGTTGCTGAGGCTGGCTTTGAACTGTCAATCATCCTGCCTCAGCCTCGCAAGCCTCTGGGATTACAGGCGTGCCAACACACCTGACGCATTAATTGATTTTTTTTAATCTTTATTTTTATGTGGTGCTGAAAATCAAACCCAGGGCCTCACACATGTGAGGCGAGCACTATACCACTGAGCCACAAGCATTAATTGATTTTTGAATGCTGATCTAATCTTGCATAATGAGATAAATTTCATTCACTGGGCTGGGGATGTGGCTCAAGCGGTAGCGCACTCGCCTGGCATGCGTGCGGCCCGGGTTTGATCCTCAGCACCACATACCAACAAAGATGTTGTGTCCGCCGAGAACTAAAAAATAAATATTAAAAACTCTCTCTCTCTCTCTCTCTCTCTCTCTCTCTCTCTCTCTCTCTCTCCTCTCTCACTCTCTCTTTAAAAAAAAATTTCATTCACTGATGGTGTATACTTAGTTTTATATGTTGTTGGACTTGATTTGCTAATATTTTATTGAAGACTTTTGTGTCTATGTTTATGAAAGATATCAGTTTGCAGTTTCTTGTAATGTCTTTGAGGATGATATTAGAGTAATCCTGGCCTCATAAAATGATTTGGGGTTTGAGGGTGTAGCTCAGTGGTACAGCACATGCTTAGCATGCATGAATAATTTTCATTTAATTCAAAACATGTTTACATTTCTCTTGAGATCCCTTCTTTGACCTATGTGCTAAAGTATGTTACTCAATCTCCTAGTATTTTAGAAGTTTCCAGTTATCCTTCTGTAGTGGATTTCTAACTGAATTCCATTGTGGTCTGAGATGATCCATTGTATGATTTCTATTCTTTTAAAATTTGTTGAGGTGTATTTTACGGCCCTTTGTCATCTATCTGGTGAATGTTCTTCTTAAGCTTGAGAAGAATGTGTCCTTTGCTGCCATTGGATGAAGTAGTCTCTAAATTTCAATCATACACCATTGATTACGGTGCTACTGAGGTTAGCWATGTCTTCGCTGATTTTCTGCCAGCTGGGATCGATCCATTTCTGATAAGCCGTGTTAAAGTCTTCAGGTATAATAGTGGAGACTATTAGGGGATTCAACTGTTTTTGAAGTTCTTGGTGAAGTTCTCACTGAGGATAGAACCCGGCCTCTTACCTGCTAGGCCAGCGCTCCACCACTAAGCTACTCCCCCAGCCCTTTGTTTTGTTTGGAGAGAAGTCCTCACTGAGTTGTCCAGGCTGGCCTTGAATTTGCAATCCACTGGCCTCAGCTTCCGGGGTCGCTGAGATTACAGACCTGTGCCACCACACCCTGGGTTTCTTTTCTTTTCTTTTTTTTTTTTTTTATTTATTGTTCTTAGACATATATGACAGTGGGATGCATTTTGACATATTATACATACACAGACTATAACAYTCTAATAGGACCCCATTCTTGTGGTCGAACAGGATGTGGAGTCACACTGGTCCTGTATTCATATGTGGACACAGGAAAGTCCTGTCCGGTTCATTCCACGGTCTTTCCTACCCCATTCCCCGCCTCCTTCATTCTCCTTTGTTTAATACGATGAACTTCTATTCTCCCCACCCCCTTATTGTGTGTTAGCACCCAYGAATCAGAGAGAACATCCAGCCTTTGGTTTTGGGGGACTGGCTTATTTCACTTAGCACGACGGTGTCCAGTTCCATCCATTTACCAGCAAATGCCATAACTTCATTCTTCTTTATGGCAGCCCAGTTTTTTAAAAACCCTTTTTCAGTTCATGCTTCAGTTTGAATTGTTCCGTTTGTCTTCAAATTGATCATGTCTTCTGTTGTGTACAGTCTTCTGTTAATCCYATCTAGTGAATTTTTATTTCCAGAATTTCCATTTGAATTTTTTTTTGGTAATTTACACATCTATCCCAAAATTCTCCATTGCGTAAGCTATTATTATATTGATTCCAATAAATTCTTTACCCTATCTGTCATAGGTATTTTAAACCCTTGTCTGCTAATTATACAACACGTTGGTGGCTGTGATTTGTTTCTTTGGTGTGCATGTGTGGCACTGGGAATTGACCCAGGGCCTCACATATGCTAGGCAAATGCTGTACCACTCAGCCAAGCCCCAGGCCTTTTTGTTTTATTTTTGAGATGGGTTCTTGCTGAGTTTCTCAGGCTGCCTTTGAACTTGGGATCCTCCAGCTTCAGCCTCCCAACTGGCAGAGACTATAGGTGTGGGCCACCATGCCCAGCTTGGTCTGTTTCTGTTGACTGTTTTTTCTCTTGAATTTGGGTGACATTTTCCTGTTTTTCACACCTTGTAACTTTTTTATTGCATACTAGACAATGAAGATAATGTATTGAGGACGCTCTGGGTTCTATGATCATATGTCAAACAGTGTTTTGTTTTAGCACAATTAAATTACTAATGGATCATCTTGCTCCTTGGGAGACCTAGTTTTAGGCTTTATTGAGGAAAGCCCATTTTGGTTTTGTCCTTGGCCCTAGGAAAAAAAAAAATCCCAGATCTTGGGATATAGTCTTTATTCCTGAAGCATGGCCTCTCTGGACTTTCATTAGAAAGCCTTAGGCATTCGGAACTCTGTCTCCTACGTGGTGGGGAATTGTTGAAATCCACGCTGAGTTCCACCAACCTGCTGACTCTCTCCTGGGCTCCTTGGAATTCTGCCCTGTGGATCGTCAAAGGGCTAGAGGACAGCATTTATGCAGATTTTGTTCCCTTTCCAGGGTTTCTCCACAGTTCCCTCCTTCTCTGGTGCCTTCAACTTGGACATCTAACTCCTCGGGGAAATTAAACCACAGATTGCTGCTTGAACTCTATTTGCCAGGCCATCCCTTCTGAGGAAAAAATGAATACATGAATTTTACCCCGTGTGATTTCCTTCTTCCAAGAGTTGAATGTCCTGTTTCGGCTGTTCTTTATCACTTTCCATTGCCTTCAACAGTTGTTTTTTTTTTCTTTTGTTTTCTTTCTTGTGGTATTGAACCCAGGGGTGTTTTACCACTGAGCAACATCCCTGGTCTTTTTTTTTTTTTTGTACCAGGGATTGAACCCAGGGGTGCTTAACCACTGAGCCACATCCCCAGCCCTTTTTATTTCTTATTTTGAGACAGGGTCTCACTAAGTTGCTTAGGGCCTAAATTGCTGAGGCTGGCTTTGAACTTGAGATCCTCCTGCCTCAGTCTCCTGATTGGGATTACAGCCATGCTCCATTACGCCCAGCCCCTCATCCTTTTTATTTTTATTTTGAAACAGGGTTTTGTTAAGTTGTTCAGGCTGGCCTCACTTGGAATCCTCCTGCCTCAGAATCCCAAGTTACTGGGATTAGAGGCACGTGCCACCTCTGTGTTTGACTTTATCTAATGGTCGTCCAACGTAAGCTACTCTCTAGGGGGTTCTTTGTTTTTTGCGGTGCTGGGGGTTAAACCTGGGGCGTCACACATTCTAGGCAGGCGCTCTACCTCTGAGCTACCCCCTCGCCCATCTGTCTGTTTCTCTAAGTCTTTCTCCCCCTGTCTCCCCTCCATCCATCTCTTCTCCCTCTCTCCCTCCCTACTCTTTCTCCTCCCCTCCTTTACTTCTGTCTCTGTCTCTCCTTGCAGGGAGAACCTGGCCCCAAAGGAGATCCTGGTGAGAAGAGCCACTGGGTAAGCTTTGGTCCAGCCTCGACACTCTGCCTTCTCCTGCCCGGGTGCTCATGGGAGAATTCTCTCATCACTAGGCCCTGGGAGTCGGGGTGCCCCGTCCAGAACCCCACTACAGCCCCATCTCCCGGGCAGGAGCCTGGGCACATCTCAGCCYAGCCTTCTCCCCGATCCTGTCACTCCCAGCTGAGCAGCACTAGCCCTGTCAGCAGACCCMTGTCCTGTGTCTCTGTCTTTGTCCCTGCCTCACCTTCCCTCTGTGACCTTTCAAGGCCAGGGTTCTGCTGGGTAGTTTGGGTTGACTCAGGCCAGACTGCATCCCCTGCCACCAGGGTCCCCTCCCGGTAAGGACTTYGGCTTCTGCCCCCCTCTCTGTGGAAGGAAGGGAAGCCTGAGGACGGTGTCCATGAGGAAGAACAGAACGGGGGACAGAGGGACAGGAGAGGAGAGTCACGAAGCAGGACTGGGGACGTAGCTCCGTGGTCGAGCACTTGCCTGGCATGAGTGAGGCCCTTGGGTTGGATCCCCAGCCCTACAAAAAGGAAAAAGAGAAAGGGTCGGGGGAGCGCCATGATGGGTGGGAAGGAAGGCCTAGACGCTGGGAGGGGCTGGGAGGCCCTGGGTGAGAGGGACAGGACACCTAGACAAGCCCTCTACCTAGGAAGACCAGGAAGCCTGGGAAGGGAGGGAGGCCTTGAGACCAGGTGTACACACTCGACATGACTCAACCCCACTGTGTCCAAAAGACGATAAATAACACGGGCTCCTAGATATCATCACATGTGTGGGGGGCCCAAGAGGAATGGTCTCATGCACAGGAGAACCCTGAAAAGTGAGATGAGAGGACCTGGGTGCCATTCTGTACACAGACAAACTGGAAGGTTAGGAAGGGAGGCCGGGACGCTGTGGCATACAGCGGGGTGCAGTGGCACACCCTGTCATCACAGCAACTCCGGAGGCCAAGGCTGGAGGATCATGACTTTGAGGCCAGCCTCCACAACCTAGCAAGACCCTGTCTCCAAATAAAATGGATAATCCCATCAATATGTGCGGAGAAAAAAATAAAATAAATAGGGATGGGGAGACAGCTCAGTGGTAGACCGTGGGAAAAGAAGGAAGGAAGGAAAGAGTCAGACACCCAGRCGACAGAGTGCCTAAGGGAACCTAGAAACAGCACCCTCAGAAACTGCACAGTTAATGTGGGGTCCTGGGACCTCTGTAATCAGGGATAACTGCAACAAGGGAACTTCAGGCTCTAGAAATCGACTCCCCCAGAGGCCTGTGAGGGAAGGATCAGGAGCCTAGAACATACCATGCCTGAAGCCCCACAATGCGGGGACCTGGAGGCCATCGCTGACATAGAAAGTGGGTCAGGTGGGGCAGACACCTCTACCAGACAGACCGTGGGGGGCTCCTTTGGAGGATGGGGTTGCACCTCCCTCCCCATGCAGTCTGGCCAGGACAGCCTACTTTCTCCCGGACACTAATGAGGACGTGGGCAGCTGCAGTGTCTGCCCTGCCTCTCGGTTCCTGGTTGTGGGGTCAGGGATGGATACAGCCGTGGGACCCCCCGACCCTGCACGAGCCTCCTCCGTGTTTCCCCGCRACTCCCGGAGCCTGCTACCTCTCCCAGTTGCTTGCTGGCCTCCCCAGCTGCCCTCCTACCCTCCCTCCAGGACTCTTTAGTTTCAGTGTGGTAATAAGCTGAGCTGGGGGTCAGGACAGGTCCGTGTGAGCCCCGTCCTCTGCCTCCCCAGGGCCCTCACTCCCCCAGAGACCCTCATTCTGGAAACACGACCCAGGGGAGGTGGCACAAGCCAGGTGGGGGCAGAGGGAAACTGTGCTCGGTCGCTGCAGGGAGAGCCCTGGCAGGGGGTCAGGCTGCCTGGCCTACCCCAGGGCAGGACCACATGTGGGACCCAAGAGGTAGCAGCTCCCTGTTCGTCCACCTTCCTCCCYTTGTCCATCTGCTCTTCTGCCCCTGCTTGCTGCCTGCCTGGAGGGGCCCGCTGGGCTGGGGGTTGCATGAGGCTTTGGGAACTGGATGGGGGGGCAGCTCTGTTGGAAATAGGTGAGAACAGGTTGCTGTGTACACTCCACCTCCCAATGTCCCCTTGGCACATCTTTCAGACTTTGACCTGGCACAGCTGTAGCTCTGCAGTGACACCCAGTGACCACAGGAGGACACTGCAGAGCCTGAGCCATTCCCCCTAGAAAGATCTCCACCTTCACCCTTCATTCAGACAGAAACAGGCCCAGCTCTGCAGAGAAAAGCCCCCGCACAGCCAAAACTGGAGCCCAGGCTTCCTCCCACGGGAGCGAGGAAACCAGCTACCATTCCCTTTGTCTGTGGTGCCAGGCCCAGGGCTGGGCACTCTGGACACAGATGCCATGTGGACACAGTCCCCATTCCTGGGATGATTAGTGTGGAATGGGGAGAAAGGCCCCATAATCACCATCCACAGGACAGAGGGAGCTCAACTGTGATGGAAGAGGCCGTAGTATCTTTTTTTTTTTTTAATTTTTTTTTAAAGAGAGAAAGAGAGAAAATTTTTATATTTATTTTTTAGTTTTCGGGAGACACAACATCTTTGTTTGTATGTGGTGCTGAGGATCGAACCCCAGGCCGCACGCATGCCAGGCGAGCGCGCTACCGCTTGAGCCACATCCCCAGCCCATATCTTCTACATGGAGATGGACTAGGCCTGAAATCTGCATAACCAGGAAAGGGTGTTTAGACAGAGGAGCAGGAACMCGTGCAAAGGCCCTGGGGCAAGAGTGAGCCCTAGGTATTTGAAGAGCTGCAAATACTTGGAGTGACAAGGAGTGAGACAGAGTCCAAGGAGGCTTTCAGGTCTTAGGAGACCCTTAAATGAAATTGAACTTTGTTTTATAGGTATCCGGGGAGTCACTGAAGTACTTGGAGTGATATGGTCATATTTTTTTCTTTGCAAAATATCCTTCTGATGGCCATGTGGAGAACAGATGGGAGAAGGGACAACATGGGAGAAAGAGAAAGAAACTAGACAGGAGGCCAGCAGGGTCATCCTTGTGAGAGACTGTGGGGGCTGGAGCTGGGGGGGTGCAGCAGGACAGATGCCCGTGGAGCTAAGAGACTCTGGGTGCTGCTTTGGCTCTGAAGGGAAGTGAGGAATCAGACCTAAAATAGTAAGGGGGAGCAAGCACGCCGCTCTGCTCATAGAAAAGCGGGATGTATCTGCGTGACAGCCCAGTGGAGGTGTCCAGCCGTCCCCAGACACAAAGCACAAGTGTGGCCAGGCTAGGAGGGGATCTGGGTGTCACCAGTGAAAACAGCAAGGCACCTGTTGCGGGTGGGCTGCAAACAGTGTTTTGTTTTGTTTTTTAAACTTTCCCCTAGATTTTCATTTTGAAAATTTTCAGCAGAGTGTGGTGGCACCCACCTGTCATCCCAGCCACTTGGGAGGCTGAGGCAAGAAGACATTCCAGAATATGGATGAGTGCTCTTTTCTGGGGAAGGGGCTCTGGGCTGCCAGCATTTTAAGCACAGGTTTCCTGAAGGCAATGTCACTCAAACATGTTTTTCTTTCTTTCTTTCTTTCTTTCTTTCTTT